ATGAACATAAGGCTGATAGTGAAATCCATCAAAGAGGCAGTTTCGTGGTGGTTGAGGTGGAAGGTTTAGCTTTACCTGGTGATCTTCAGGTAAACCTGTGTGCAGCAGTACCTGCCAATGCCTGAGAGAGCGAGAGGAACTGGACAAAATTGTACAGGATCCCCTCATACAGACGAATGGGCAACACTGCTTAAAGACAAGGAGGTGAAGGCTGTGAGCATCCTGGAATAGCAACTGGTGATCTGACTCACCAGTATTTTAATCAGTCAGGCATTCTATTTATTTTTACTTTGGAACTCTTAGATATGCAAAGGAAGTTTTTTTTTTTTTTCTCTTGGACATAGAACCATGGAATCATAGAATCATAGAATCATAGAATGGTTAGGGTCGGAAGGGACCTTAAAGATCATCCAGTTCCACCCCCCCTGCCATGGGCAGGGACCCCTTCCACTAGACCAGGTTGCTCCAAGCCTCATCCAGCCTGGCCTTAGACACTTCCAGGGATGGAGCATCCACAGCTTCTCTGGCCAACCTGTCCCAGTGCCTCTCCACCCTCTCTGGGAAGAACATGCTAACTTGAAGTGGCATTAATGTGTTTTAAGGTAGGGGTGTGTGCTGAGTGCTACAGCGTTGGGTTTTTTTAAGCCCGTTCTGACACAAATTGAAACTTCTCCTTGCTGACAGCACTGAGCTTGTTTAAATAACCACCCCAGGCCCATGCTACAATAATATGCTTTAAACTGACATAGCCGAAAACGGAACAGTCTTAATTTCAGTTCCAACTGAAACGTGGGCAGGCCAGGAAGCTCATCGATAGCATCCAAGCAGAGAAAGACAACGGCGAGGAGGCAGGGATAAAGGCAAGTGGTGCCAGGGGTTGGAAGGGGTTGTACATCCGCTCCTTGCACCCAAGCCAGATCTTTAGTGTGATTCCTTTCTTTAACAAGTGTAATTTCTTCTTTTCCCTTTGGTGGATGCGTCTTTTGACAGGCTTGATGTGTCTGAGATGATTTTGTAGCTAATACTGTGGATAGGTTCTTCTGGCTGTGGACTTGGCACTTTGTCGAACACTCAGTGACAGTTGTTGGGACTGGAAGGTCCCCAAAAGGTGTGTGGTGTTCTCAGTTGGCATTCCCTGCTCTAGTGATGCATAAATTCCTGGCCTTTCCCAGCTGCTGCTCTGTTGTAGTGGTCAGCAAAGCAACATTGCTAAAATGCTAGTTGTGTTGTTTTAAGAAACCAGCAGCAGCTGCAAACGAGAAGGCTAACTTAATGCATTGTTCATAAAACTTCTCAATAAGGAAGTGGGAAACCTCACTGAGACAACATGATTTTTTTCTTTTTTTTTTTTTTTCTTCAAGCTAAATGTCAATGTGAAACTGCTGCTGAACAGTCGCACTCAGGGCGGGAGAGGAATCTGCATGCTTTGAAGCTGACTTACAAAGTCCTATGTATGTTTTAAAGCTCTTTCCCAAGTCTTTTTTAACCAAGTCTGTGGGCTAATTTCACAAAATGTTAACTGAAGTTCTCCAGAAAGCCACTGGGAAGGCAGGTTTGACCCAGACAGGCAAAGCAGGATCCCATGTTTGGTGTCCGCAGTGGGCGAGTGCTGGAGAGGTATTTGTGTTACTTTTTTTCAGCATTCTATATACATAGTACCTTCATGAAACACAGAAATGTTCTTTTACGGTCCCCGCTACAAAAAGCTTCCAGTTGAGATGGAAGAGCTGAAGAGGGTGAAGGGGGACTTGGTTAGAGGAGTGGAGAGAGGAGGTTTTAAAGGAGTGGAAAGCACGTGGCTCTCTCTTGTATTAATGATGATTGAGTGTGTCCTCAGTTCTGACTCCCTACAAGTCTCAGCTGACCTTATCCCTTCTATTAGTTTCTCACAGGAGCACAGATGTTATCTGGGGGAGGAGTTGCCGCTGCCATCAGAGCAGTGCCTCCACAGCACAACTGATACTGCGCCTGGCTTCCGTGCTGTAAAAACGCACTTTCTTTTTTACAGCAGTGAGAACTAACATTAGTTAACCAGGGATGAGTGTAAACCTTAGTGAAGTTAAGGAGCAAGTAATATTTAATGCTGCTAGCAAAAGCCTGTTGTGGGTTAGGGGTGTACTATGCACTTTCATCTGCTGTATCTTTACCTGACTTCCCCTTTCTTCCTTGAAAATAATGAGCCCATACACACATCTACAGAAGGAAGAAACTCAGGGATATTGAAATCAAGAATTACAGTTGGATCAAAGTGGCTTGGATGAGGGAGAGGAGATTTTAAAAAACAGAGAAGCAGCATGGGGTATGAAAGAACCACGCTCCAGCTCCATAACTTGAAGCTCCTCACGCTGCACGTACATAACTTATGTCTGCACAGGAAGCTGCGCGCATCCCGGAGCGGTGGCAAGTAAATAGGCAGCCAAAACCACAGCTCCAGCATGTCTCGTGGGTAAATCCTGTTCTTAGTGGTCTTGCTGTGGAACCTCAGGTACCCATGTACTGCTCCCAGGGCTTCCTGTCATCCAGAGTTTCCCTGGAAAGGGCTGCGCACGGAACCTGGGCGTGAGAGACCAAGTGCCTATGTCCAGATGGATGAGGTTTACAAATGCTTTGGGCCTCTTGGGACTGACGCCCCGTCCAAGTGCAGAGATGAGTCTCGCCTGTTCGGTTCTCAGTATGTATCTTCAAGGGAAGTTACACTTCAGTAATTATTTAAACATTCTGAATTATTACTTTTTTTAATCACAGCTTATGCCAGCTACACTTTGTGGTACCTACCATAAAATAGTTGGGATTTTGATTCCTATAAGGACCTGAAAACGTTGCAGCAGCAGTTAAAGTGGGCTGGGTGCGCAGCTTCTGTGCCTACACAGCCTTGTAGACCTGAGTCACACACTCAACTGTCTGAGTGCTGGCGGCTGCTGTGTTAGAGGATGTTGCTTACAATAGCACCTCTTTTTGTTGTTGGTTGGCAAGAGAGGTGTGTGCTTTGTTGACTTTAATCTCAGTAATGTTTCTTTGTTATTCTTTTCCATTTCAGAGGGCAACAAGGATTTGAAATTTTACTTCTCCCTTCCCTCTGTTGTCTTTTAACTCCACTGGGGAGTGACTTGTAGAATTATGTATTTTTTGGCAATGGGGCTGGGTTTGCGCTGCAGACCTTGAAGGTCCTTGGAAGGTGAGGGGGGGGCAAGGAGGGACAGAGTTAATGCAAATCAGGAGAGAGTGAGTGTAAAAATAGCTCTGAACTTGTCAGTTTGGTCGCTGGTGGCTTGGGTTAGTCATCTGGCAGGCTCTTTCTGCTGCTCCAAGGGATTATTTTACAGCACTGAGATTTGACATAATTTCTGCAGAGGAGAGGGAGTGGGACGGGTGTAATGAGTGGGATACTGTCATCAGCACTTCTTTTGCACAGCAGCTGTTCTCTGTTTAGCTGCTGAATGTGGTCATTGTTGACTTTCCTTGTATACCTGCCAGGTTGTTAGGTGACTCATTTACACATCACACGGAGGTTCATGCACTTGGCTCCCTTCCCCTTCCCTCGGCCACCGAACACCCACTAGTTTTGTCATTTTCCTGACTGATCTCTGTTGTCAGGAGCCTGTTAGGGTAAATGTCCTGTTGCCCATGGTGGGTGGGAAGGAGAGAAAAAAAGGAAAAGAAAACCCCTGGTGCAGATCTAAACTGGCAAGCCTCAAAGATATGCTCCTGTAATCATTCTGAGACCTTGGTTTTGCTGGCCTCCGTTCAAATGGCCCTCCTCCTCATCTTATATTGGGTTTGTGGTACTTAACACCTGATGTGTTTGCTAAGGTTTCTGAATTTTCATGGCTTGTTTAATGATGGAAATGTTTATTTTAAGGTCTTGCACTGAGGCTGGGAGAGGAGTGGCATGAGGAAGTGACCTCTATGGTTAAGGGGCAGTAGAGCATATTCTAGTTTAAAACATGAGAAAACAGCTATGTCCTAACTTTTCCGGAATCCAAGGTGAGGGGATTAGGGTGTAAACCAAAGCCATGTTTCCTGTGGGCTTGTGTGGGGTTATAAGGAGCTCCCAACTCCCCACCCTCCGAATTTCCACCTCACAATATACCCCTGGCCTGTCCTGCGGAGCCTTGCTTCTGTGCTTCTTCATGCTTCTCCCTTTCCAGCCCTGGCTCCCTTCCACCTTCCTCTTGCCAACTGGCCAAGATTTGCCATGTGCTGGGACTTGTTTCGAGCTCCTTTTGCACTAACTGGTCAGCCAGCAGCCTGAGCTGATTGACTCGCCAGCTGCTGCCAACCGCGGGGATCGTCTTTTCCAGCACCATCGCTGTCCCCTACCCAACACCAACTTGCGTTAAGCCCCTACGCCGTAGGAGCTCTGCTTTCGTCGGGCTTGACCAAGGATTTCAAAGGTTATTGGTGATTAAGGGGAAGGAAGGGGAGTGAGGCAGGCTGATTGTCTAGCCTCGTTTCATTGGAAGGAAAAATGAGAAATGGATTCAAGGGTGACTGAGTACGAGGAAGAAAGCATTTAGCAGGATTTTATGGCCGTTCTGTGTGGCGTGAGAGCGCAGTGTAGTTTCTCTAGGTGCGCTCTAGGAGAAAATCTTTCATGTTGTCTCTTCTTTTTTTTTTTCTTGGTGGGGAGTGACTATTCTTCCTGTTTGGTGATACAAGCGTTCCCTCTTCTATATGGTTTCACCTTTTGTTTAAGCAAAGGAAATACACTGAGAAATAAATTTCCCCTTGAAACGTGTGGTCTCATACTTTACTACTGAGAATAACATTGATTATTCAAACCTTCGGCGGTACAAGTCAGGGGTGGAGAGCCGGCAGTCTTGGGTTCTTTTTCAGCTCCATGCTCAGACGTTGGGTAGGACCTTTATTTGGTTTAAATTATTTAGTAATCTGATACCTTGAGCAGCCTCCCGTTTCTCATGAACTTGAAGTTGCTTCTGCCTGTGAAGTTAAGTATTTTGACAAGTGTTTTGCCTTTTTATTTTATCCTTACTCAGTGACTCTCTGAACCTGTGAAATGGCAGTGATGGGAATTACCTGCCAAGGAGCTCCTGGTCCAGCTGTCAAGCAGAAGAAGGAGCTCACAGCTACGAAGGGGCTAAACGAGACAGCTAGTGAAAAGCAGAGCAGTGTTTGCAAAGTAGAAGATTCAAAGAAGGTCATCTTTCACAGTCAGTGGAAAATCCTGAATGATGTAATCACCAAAGGAACAGCAAAAGAAGAAACAGAAGGAGGCTGTGCATCAATTTCTATTATTGCCCAAGCAGAATGTAAGTAGCAGGGCGGTCGGCTCTTCATTGAGAAAAAGGAATGTGTAATGTAGTATGAGATTTCACTCGCTTTGCACTCCTGGAGAGCTGAGCTGAAATCTATTTGTAATTTCAAGTGGGGTGGAGTTGGTGACACATCCCAGTCTCTATTTAGGAAGCTCATGAAATCTCCTAATAATGTGGCAGCATCCACTGAATAAAACATAAATAACAGAACATGTGGCCATTGCACCTTGCTGCTTTGACTAGAAATCCGTGTCCTGCTGGCTCATCTGTTCTTGGCTGACTTCTGAAAGGTGCTTTAAAAGAGTTGGGAAAAGAGAAGAAACCAGAATAAAGCTGTCAGGTGGGAAGGAGCTGGGGGATCAGGAGGTGGCAGTGCTGGGAAGCTCTCTCTTGTGGGAGGAGGATGAACATAGTGTGGGTGATGTGGCACGACTGTGTGGTGACTTGTCTGGATCACTGTCTGGCTTAGCAAGTTAGTGGAGTTGTTTCTTAGTCCAGTTGTTATCAGGAGAGACTTTGCCTGATATTGAAGACGTGTGATGATCCTGTTTTCTTTCACACAGGTGAAAACAGTCAGGAATTCAGCCCCACTTTATCAGAGAGATCCTTTATTGTCCATAGTAAGCGTTACAGGTGAGAGACCCCTTAACACGAACACCCACCCTCACTGCTCTGTGTGCTGACTTGTTCCAAATCACCCTGGCTCTGTCTGCTTACAAGAGGTTTTTTCCAAAAATAGTCCTGTTGAGATTTTCTGTCTGAGGCTCAGGAGTAGTGTGCCTTTCCCCAAACATCTTTCTCAAAACCTTTTTGTGTTGGTAGAAAATAGAAGTTTAATCACAAACCACTCAAAACACCTTTCACTGTCTAGTTGTCAGTGCCTGCTGATTGTCATCTGCCTCTATTTCTGGGTTTCCACGTTTGTTTTGAAATGACTGAGTCATTTTTTGAGGTAGAAGGATCCAGGGGAAAGTCTTTCCGTCTTTAACTGAATTGTCCTGATGCTTTTGAAACCTTGTTGTCCCCTTTGAAAAGTTGTGGGAAACTTGGGCTGCTGGTAGGGGTAGTCCTGAAAAAAAAGGAATTACTTTGTTTCTGTGGAGGGTAAACAAAAGGGGATGAGAGAAGAACCTTTGCATAATGACAGCATCAGGGACAGAGTTGTGAGGAGAAGCTGAAAGTCATAAAGGGAGAGTAACAGTTGCAATAGAAAAATGGAGGCCTGGGACTTGCTTTTCTGAAGTCATCTGGGAGTGGGACACTTTTTTTCATGATGAAGAATATGTGCTTTATTGAGGCACATACTGGACCTTTATTAAGCACTGGAGATTTATCAAGCAGCTCCAAGACTCCCTAAAGTGGGTAGCTGGGATCTGGAGTTCGGTGCTGCCTGTCTTCCGGCAGCTTTCAGACACTGAACTTGTGTCTGTGAGGTACATGGTTTGACACTGTCCCACGAACCACCTGAGAAATGCAGTGAACCATTTCTTAGAGGGTCTGTGTGGAATGCATACCAGCTGGGGTTCAGGTTCAAGGCAATGTGGTGATGCCATCACCCAGAACTCTACACTGAAACAAGGAAAAGATGGAGAGAGCAGTGCGGGCGCTGCATCACCATTCAGTAACGGTAGGTGATGTACTGCACGGATCAACACAACAATCAGGATTTCTTCATTTCAAATGCCCTGTTTTCTCTTACAACTTGATTTAAAAAATCCAACTTACTGTGTAACTGCAGGCAAGCGTTCCTCGTGAGCGTTGTATCTATTTGTAGAGACGCCCAGCTGCTGTGCTGGCCAGTGCTGTTCTGTGTGTGTATACGTTCCTAGAAGTCATACTGCAGTGTTGAGCTTTACCTGTCAGAACACTTTGGCTTTTTGAAGCTATTTTATTTGAGTTCACTTAGCCATCCTCTTTCTGTGGTGTATTTTTGTTTCAAATAGAGCAGACGTTTGTATTGCCAACATGTTCATTAATTTTAACATTTTTTTTAAATAGTTTGCATTTATACACAACCTCTGTGTTCACTATAGGTCAGAGACACAAACTGTCTCAAAGCAACCAAATTCAGTGCTTTTCCCTCTACTTTTCCATCTAGTCTTGCTGCTCCTTACAGAACTTGCCAACACTGGGAGACTCGATGCTTTGCTTCACCTACACACACCCCCTCCCCCATTTATTTCTCACAGTGTCAGATACACTACTGTGCTTTGACACTGAAGTTACAAATGCTATGTGTTAGAAGGCAAGGAGTTATGCTATCATCCTCTGTTCTTCAAATCTCAGAAGGCAGAGCTGCTGATTCTCATTCTTGGTCATAGTTGTTAACTGGAGGTGTGCTTTCACCGTCAGATCTAAGAGACTTCACGCGTTTTGGTTTCCAACAGCCGGTCAGACAGTCTCGATCAAATCCCTAACAATGTGGCCCATGCAACGGAGGGGAAGATGGCATCTACCTGCTGGAGGGGGAGGCATCGTGGTAAGACAAAGAAGAAACGTCACAAGAAAAGATCCAAGCTGAAAATACAAACAGTGGCTGCTGGCAGACGAGGTCCCAGAACTCCAGAACAAGAGAGCTGCACCCCAATTCCTGTCCAGGTGAGAATCCTTAAACCTGCCTTTCGAACTGTTGGGACCCCTGCAACCCCCTAACAATCCCTGCTTCAGTTTTGGCTGGTTATATCGAGGTTTCTGCTCAGCTGTTTTATTTTGGTTTATTTTCCAGGAGGATGAATCACACCAAAATACTCTGTACAGAAACAATTTCTGGGTTTCAGAACTTAACAAGGACTTGGTCTATGATCCACTGCCATTTGAGAAACCTGAGAAAGTTCTGTCCACAGGCAAACTCCATTCACCGAGGAGTCAGTACAAAACAGAACTGCACAAGTTGATAAGCCCTATTCAGTGCCTTAATCATGTTTGGAAACGGCATTATCAGAGGGACAGTGTTCCACAACCTGAAACTCTCCATCCTTTTATCATTTCCCACATCTGGACAGTCCCCTCCATGCCATGAAACGTAATGCTCTGGAGACGTACTTCCAGGGTGATCTCAGCTATCAAGACAGTGAGCATCGCTTATCTGGCCTCCACTTAGAGTATGATTTCCCCAAACATGGTAACCAGTCCATGAAAACCAGTTCAGACAAGATTTCTGTGGAAGAATACTTGGTGGACGCCTTGAAGGGGAGCGTGAGTCTCGGTGAGCCGCAGAATTTAGCCAGCCTAGCCAAGACGTGGAGGGGAGGCGGTCTGGACCAGAAGGAACAGTTTCATGAAGCAGATGAAAACGAAGGCGTGCTACTTAATGAGGTGATCTTCTAACACTACACTCTAGTGTCGTGGAAGGCAAAGTTTCTCCTCAGCTTCAGAAGAGAGAGGATCTGCACCCATGTGCGAGCTTCTGTGAATGGTTCTTGGTGTGGTTGAGGACGGTCAGTTAAAGATGCGGGTTTGGTGTTGGAAGGCTGTAAAGCCCCGTCTCAGATTGGTGGCTCTGATTTGTTCACTCGTTCATAAAACATATATGCTTGGCTGTGAGAAGTGTTTCTGTGCCTAGTCAGCCTGCAAACACGTCTTCTGTGTTTGTCTGTGAAAGAGCCCAGTCCATCAGGTGACCGGGCTGCAGTACTTTATTGGCTGTAGATGACCTGGACTGTCACACAGACAGAAACCAGGGACGTGAGGACTGTCACGGTGCAGAAAGCATGTCTGCTGCCTCTGCTGGGAAGCCAGCAACTCGCCTGTTGATTCTTGCCAAACACACGCCTTGGGCATAGCAAATGCACGTAGATCTTAGAGACGTGCCTTGTTTCTTCTGAATTCAGTTCTGTCTTGCCACCCAAAACTCCTCTTAGAGGACTCCTCCCCGGAATCAGTGTGACCCTGTCAGTGTCGGTGGAGTTCGGGGTGTTACTTACCTGCCTGAAAGTGTTTAAACTGAGACCCCAGGCACAACCTCAGTCTGCTGACTCTAAAAACAGTTTAGCTCGCATATGCACATCTACATACAGTCACGTGAATCTTGTTTTGTTTGTAGGATTTAGCTTCATAATCATGTCCTGCATGTGAAGGGAATAGCTGGGAGCTCCAAAGCTGTCCAAATACAGGGAGTGGCCTTCTTTTGCAGGAGTGAGGTGCACTCATTTACTGAAACAGAGCCCACAGAAATGAAGTAGATCCTCCCCTATCATAGAATCATAGAACGGTTTGGGTTGGAAGGGATCTTAAAGATCATCCAGTTCCAACTCCCCTGCCATGGGCAGGGACACCTTCCACTAGACCAGGTTGCTCAAAGCCTCGTCCAGCCTGGCCTTGAAGACATCCATATCATTCCTTCTCGAGCCCGAAGTAATGTCGTACAGGGATTTTTAGAGAGGTGCGGCCGTATCTGTCATTGTGCTTTTTCTGAAAATGTTGGTCCCTGTGCAGCTCAACAGTTAAGTGTTTCTTTCCTTGCTTTATCTTGCTTTCTGATTTTAACTTCCAGAAACTAAAGCCAGTGGATTACGAGTACCGAGAAGAGGTTCACTGGACCAAGTGTCAGAGTTCTTTGGGCATTGGCTCTTTTGGGGAAGTATACAAAATAGAGGACAAACAGACGGGATTTCAGTGTGCTGCCAAAAAGGTAATTATGTGTGAGAAAGGGGGGGTTCCTGGTACACGAAAGCACAGGGAGAAAAAGTCTTCTCCTTCCAGCTACCATGGACTTGTGGTACCTTGTTGTGCAGGTGCAGTGAAATGCTGCTGTGCTTAGGTGCAAGGGAAGACTTCAAGGTGCTGGCACGGCGAGAAGAAGCAGATGGAGAACTTGTATGTGCAGAGGGGGTCAAGCTTAGCAGCCAGAAATGGGTTCATTTGGCCTTCAGGGTGTGCTACTAAGGATCTTGGGGTTAATGCTGAAAGAGGCCAAAAGAGCAGAGATTTTGAAAGACTTTTAAGTGTGTTCCTAGTGACTACGGGGGAGAAACGGCTGTGTCAGCTGCTTATCTAAGTATTCTCATTTTAAAACACCTCTAGTGTAAATGGTGACATGGCAGGTGTTTTTCTGTTGAAAAAGGAATAAAGTAGGAAAAACATAAGGCAGTCAGCAGGCACTCAAAATGGAGAGAGCTTTCATCTGTTCAGTGAGTGTCGCGAGCAATACTGGCACATTGAAATGGGGTGATTCTGTTACAGGTGCAGCAAAGGATGTGTATTTTTCCAGAAGTTGACATCATAATCTCTTGTACCCCAAGATATGCCATTGTCATATGATGTATGAAGCTTGTGGAATGTCGCTTGAATCAGGGTATTGATTTGTAGGCAACCATGGGGGGCCTCAGAGGTGAAGGCAGAGTGACAATGCAAGTACATAATGCGAATGTAAATGTGTTGTTTGAACTTAACTCTTGAACAGTTTAATCACCTCTGTTCTCACATTACTCCAATACAAAACTTCAGAAAGTGTGTGGGAAGCATTTGTCTTAAGTACAAAAATATTATATGCAAAAAGAATTGAAACTTGGGGTTTCAATTTAAAATGTTTGCTTTTTCTTGTTTACATCGGTCTCAACATGATGTGTTGCCTAGTGGGAAGATGTAAGTGGCAAGACTAAGCCAGCTTGTCCACTTTTTTAACCATTTCATTTGTCAGCTGTAAGCAAACATATTTAAAGCAGGTAGCAAATTATTTTCTATTCTTCATCCTCACATTTTAGATGTGGAATTTTGTGGCAACATGACCAGCTTGTTTCCTGAGAGTATGTAACTGCTGAAATTATTTATTACCCGTTTTGCCAATACACAGTCTTAGAAGAAATAGCTGCTACTAGTGTGTATTTTGAGGAAGGAAGGCTGGTAGTGCTGAAAAGACAGACACGAGAGTAGGAGAAGATGAAGTCTTTCAAAATGTGTGGTGTTTTTTTTTTTTTCCTAATTGCTGGAGGATTTCAGAAGATACTTCTGTAGATCAGAAATACATCTTCTCAGGCCAAACTCTTTAAACCAGTGAGCTCTAATATGCAAATTGAACACTTCAGTATGATGTATTTGGTTTTACATCAGTAACTGCCTTCGGTTCCTGCTGCCTGCCTGTGTTAGAAGGGGACCTGACCTTCTTTCGCCATACTTGGTGTTGCAAGCACCTGCTCTCCAAATTCTTGAGATGAAAGAAAACTAGTTGTAGCTGGATTGCTGACAGTGAAGAACCATGATACATCCTTTTCCCACCAGAATCTTAATGACTCACGTTTTCCTTCTGGTCTTTAGCAAATTCTTGTTTTATTTTGTTTGGCCAAACGTAGTGAATGGAGTTTTTCTTTAACCATTTTTCTGTGCAGGCTGAGTACCACCTAAAATGGTGATAGTGTCAATCACTGTTTCTGGCCATATTGCATATGCCCTCCTGTATGGGGGCAGTTTTATTTTGCCAGGTACTGCACCATCCTTAGATATCTTTTTCCTTCTTTTATAAAAGCAGAATGCTTAAATTATCTGTATTACCTTTTTGACTGAGACGGAAATTTCCTTCTTCCTGAAGATTGCCAGTACTTAGCCATAAGTGCTCAGGTATTGCAACCTGCCATCTTTTTTTGACAAATCCAAACTTTACTAGGCTCTGAGGATGTCTCATTGTCTTTGTTCAGAATAGTTCACTGTTCCCACTTATCGCTGTACCCACTGATTTCTGTTACCAAAGGTTATCCTTGTGCTTCTGCTGTTAAACAGTGTGGGACACTCCGACCCAAGCATCAGGAAGGGTTGATTCTGTCAGGATTTATCACAGAATTTGTTCAGTGCTTCTTCTTTGTTTCTCTAGGTACAAGTTGAACACTTCCGTGCAGAGGAGTTAACGACATGTGCTGCAATAACAAGTCCTAAAGTTGTCCCCTTGTACGGAGCTGTGAAGGAAGGACCTTGGGTGACCATCTTCATGAAACTGATGGAGGGTGAGAAAGGAACAACCACAGTGGAAGCACCATTTTAACTGCTGAATGCAGTGGACATTGATCTCCTCTTCCTCCTGCCCCAGTTTTAAATCTGTTAACTCTTTGGTGTATCCAAAGTGTTTCTAGCATTAATTCCCGAGTGGGTTGGGATAGGTATGTGTAACGCCTACTGGTGTGTGGTCTTTCTTTGTGGGGGAGTTGTTTCCAGCCCTGCCTCACTCCCGTTCAGGACGTGTCTCTTGAACAGCATCTGCAGATCCTTACTAAAACACATAGCAGGTGCTGGTCTTTGCTTTCATGTTTATTTGCACAGCCCCGTGTAGAGCACATTGGACTGGAACGGAGATGCTGTATCAAACCTATATGCTTCCAGTGCCTGATGCTCTTTTCCAGCTGAGACCATGGCAAACACAGCCCATGAAGAATCACCTGATCAGTAGTGCCTAGAAGTGTGATAAGATCACAGAGTAGTTGCTTGTGATACAAAGCAACACCATTAAACTGACACGAAGCAACAGACTTCATCAAAGAGGCCGGTTTTTGTGGGCAATAAGAACTCTGGGAATACACAAAAGGAACAGACCCACGTGTGGAAGATAAGGGCTGTCAGACCTGGCAGTTCTCATTTCATCATCAGAAACAACAAGGAACACTGATGGTGCTGGGAAGACTGTAAAGATAAGCTAACATGGACTCTCTGGATTCTTTTCTAGGTGGCTCACTAGGTCAGCTAATTAAACAGAGCGGCTGCCTCCCAGAGGACCGGGCCCTCAGTTATTTGGGCCAGGCATTAGAGGGCTTGGAGTATCTTCATGCTCAGAACATTCTCCATGGAGATGTAAAAGGTAGGAAGGTACTTAAGGTACCTTGTTCTTCCCTTTTTCTTACAAGAAGCAAACTGCTTGGAGATTAAGTTACTGAGTGGCAAAATGTTATTTACTAGACTAAGCTCTAATCTCAAATGTAGAGCTTAACTTGGTTCTAAGCAGCTGGGCATGTGATACTTGTCACCTCCATCTTTCTGTCATCCGGTGGGTCTGATGGGCTATTTGTCCAGGCTGTCCCACCACTGGGGTAGAGGAGGAATCTCCAGGACAGGTAATTGGTAGCTCATAAATAGAGATAATTGTAGTTGTATACTTGCTTAAGCCAGTGATGCTCCACAGGAATAATAGGCCTTGGTTTGGGCTCAAAAAATTGTGGTTCTGTGGGCTTTTGACCATTTCCCCCCC